CCATCGTCTTCCCTCCTGCTGCCTCCTCCATCTCCCCACCCCTTCTCTGAACCGGTCCCCCTTTCATCTCCTGTTCCTTCGGTCTTGTCATCAACCCCCTCCTTGGTCCCAGCATCTCCCCGCCCGTTTGCCGCGTCTCCCCATCCTGCTGCCGATGCTTCCCCTCCTTGACTTTTCTTTCTACCATCGTTGCCAAAGTCCGATCCATCTTCACCCCCCCCTCCTGATTCCCCCTCTCTAGTTTCTGGCCATCCTCCCTCCTCTGCTTTCTGTGCCTTGCCGTCCACCCGTCCATCTCCAAATCCTCCTGACTGCTCATTGTTTACCATTCCGTCTCCTTCATGCAAGCCTGGGCCAACTTCTCCTGCTTTTTCTTTCTCACCACCCTTACTATTGTCATTTTGATCGGTGTTCCCTTCTTCCCTCCTGTCCCCTCCTTTGTTTGTCCCCCTCCCCCACCCAGTTCCTTCAACGTGTTGTCCCCAGCCACCCGCCGCATCTTTGCTCTCCCAATTTTCCTTACCTCCATCTCCCCACCCCCCTTCTGCTGGGTTTGGCTTCCCAGTTGCTTCATGCAACCCCACTCCCCAGCCCTCCCCTTGACTTTTCCTACCCCCCTCTCCGCCCACGCCAGGTTCATCTTGGCTCCACCCTCGCCCCCTTCCGCCCTTTCCCATTTGTGACCATCCCCCTTCACCCACATCAGCAGTTGCTCCCCACTCTTTGACAGGACCATGGTCCTCGTCAGCTCGCTCTGGCTGACGTCTTCCCTCTGGAGCTGTGAAATCTCGTCTGCCTCTTCCTCGCCCTCTGCCCCTTTCTCCCCATCCCCTACCTGCTGGAGGCCACCCCCGCGATCCACGGCCCTCGTCACCTCCACCCCTACCTCCCCTTTCCATATCGCCCCGATACCTCTGTTGTCCTCCGGAGAACTCCCCATCACGTCGTCCCCCTTCGGACCCTCTTCCCGTTCCCCAACTTGGTGCCATGTCCCCACCCCAGCCCTTCGCCGCATCTGCCCTCTGCCTCCCTGCGGACCCCCCCCCTCCATCTCCACCACTTCCCCATCCTCCTCCCCCGCTCTGCCAACCACCACCTCCTTCTTCAACGTTACCGCCACCACTTCCCCATCCTCCTCCCGCGCTCTTCCAGCCACCACCTCCTTCAACGTTACCATCATTACCAGCTCCGCCACGGGCGCCTCTATCTGTCCGTTCGCCAAATGCCTCAGCCTGCCGCCCCCTTCCTCGACCTCTGGCCATTCCCCTGCCTCTTCCCTGACCAGGATCTGATCCTCCATCTCTATCTCCATAGGGAGGTCTTGAATGCCCACCTCCGTTCTCCCCTCCCCGTCCTCCCCGGCCTCCTTGCCAGCCATCCTGTCTCTGTCCTCGCGCTTCCCTGAATGCCCCAGGACGTCCTTCACCACCCCCGTTCCATCCCCTCCCAGCATTTTCCCACCCCAAAGCTTTGCTACTACCCCTCTTTTCCTCTTCGGGCTTGCCTGGCTTTTCACCCCATCCTCCCCAACCTCCCCCCTCGGCAAGGTTACCACTTGTTTTCCCCTCTTTACCCTCTTTCCCATTACCCCAACCTGCCGCATCTGCATCGGCACTTCCCCACCCTCCAGATCCTCCTCCTCCTTCGTTTCCCCACCCTCCTCCTCCTTGTCTTTCTTTGTCCTCTGCGCATCCTCCAGCTCGTTCTTCCAGTTTATTTCCGCATCCCTCAGCCTGATCTTGCTTTTTATTTTCCCATTGTGAATCTTGTCCTCCCATTTCCTTATTCCGACACCCGGCTTGTTGGTTTTCTTCATTTTCCTGTCCTCTACTTTGTTCCCCCTTTTCTTCATCTCCCTGGCCTCTGTCTCGTCCTTCTCTCTCATTACCCCATCCTCTAGCACCCTCCACCTTCCCCTTTGCTGATCCCTCTGCTTCTCCTTCCCTGTTGTTAAAGCCCCATCCTTCAGCTTGAACACCCTCCTCATTTTCCAACCCTCCAGCTTGTCTTCCCCTGTCATTTGCCCTTCGTCCTCCTGCTTGTCGTTCCATGCGACCTTCCGATCTGTCCCCTTGGTCCCTCTTCTCATTTCCCCGCCCTCCAAATTGTCTTACCCGGTCATTTCCCCGTCCTCCTGGTTGTCCATCCGTTTGATTACCCCATCCTTCGGTTCCACCTCTCTTTTCATGTCCCCATCCTGCAGCTTCTCCTCCCATGTCGTTATTCCGTCTCCCAGCTTGTTCATTCTCTCTTCCCAGTCCTCTTCTTCGCTGCTCCCCCTTTTCTTCATCTCCCCAGCCTCTAGCATCTCCCCACCCTATAGCTTGCCCCCCTGTTTGATTTCCCCATCCTCCCACTTCCCCCTTTTCATTTGTGCATCCCCCGGCTTGCCCATCC